CCTTAAAAGTCAGAAGGAAGTATTTTAAAGAGATTAAAACAGAACCAACCCAAATATAACCAGGAAACACTATCATCATAATGAGAGGGAAAAGGAAAGCTTTCCTGTAGAAAACCACACTAAAAAAATTGATGACCAAGAAGAAAGCCTAGCAGAACCTACAGCAAATTCACACTGATTTAAAAAAGGACACCCGCCAGGCGGTGGTGGCACATGCCTTTAATCCCAGCACTCGGGAGGCAGAGCCAGGCGGATCTCTGTGAGTTCGAGGCCAGCCTGGGCTACCAAGTGAGTCCCAGGAAAGGCACAAAACTACACAGAGAAACCCTGTCTCGAAAAACCAAAAAAAAAAAAAAAAAAAACAAAAAAAAAACCACAAAAAAAAAAAAAAAAAAAAAAAAAAAAAAAAGGGGGGGGGGGCACCCAACAGGCTGCAAGGAAAAATCAAACAAGGATAAGACCTTTGCAAAGCAAAGAGGACAAAAAACAATAACAAAATGCCCCAAATCAATACACACACACACACACACACACACACACACACACACACACACGGATAATAAATCTGAATATTAACTATCACCATTTACTTAAGAAAAGAGACACCGACTAGCAGGCTGGATTAGAAAACAGGATTCCCCCTTTTACTGCCTCCTAAAAATACACCTAGCCATCATGGATAGAGGTTATCTTAGGGTGGAAAAAATGGAAAAAGGTCTTCAAAGAAATCAGAATAACAAGCAAATAAGACTCACTATTATAAAATTTGACAAAATAGGAAGCAAAATATAGTCAGAAGAGATAAAGGTCATTTCATTCTGTCCAAAGAAGAATTCATCAAAAAGTAATTAAAATTCTAAACACAAATGCAAACAAAAGCTCACCTAAATTTATAAAACAAATACTACTAGACATAGTCATTTATTAACCCCAATGCAATAGTCCATGGATTTAATATCACAGTTTCATCATTAGAAGAACTGCGCACACACACACACACACACCAACAAGAAAAATCTATAATTAAATAACACCATAGATCAAATGGACCTAATAGACAAATACAAAACATCCCACTGAAACACAACAGAATATACTCATTTCTCAGTAGCTCATTGAAATTACTATAAAAGATCCTATATGAGGACATACAGCAAGTATCAACACATACAGAAAAAGCTGAAGCAATTCCTTGTATTCTATCTCATCAACCAGGGAAAGAGACTGACAATAGCCAGTAGCAGACATTATCAGAAACATAAAGACTTTATGGAGATAAAAGTATACATTATTACACACTATTGTTTGATGAATGCATCACTGAAGACATCAATAAATTACTTAACTGAAAGAAAATTAGTATGTAAACATGTTGATACTTGCTGTATGTCCTTCTTAAACTATTCTGGAACACAAAACAGGGAAGGATTCCAAACACCTTTCCCCCCATGAAGCCAGTATTATTCTGATTCCAAAACCTAATAAAGACACAGTAAAAAAAGAAAATTAAAGTATAATCTCTTTGATAAACATACATTCTAAAGTTCTTAAAACAAAACAAAGACCAAAACAAAATCCTTACTTCCAAACAGAATTCATGAACAAATTATAACAATCCTTCACCTGGTTCAATCTGGTTTCATCCACACATGCAAAGATGGTGCTGTATATATTAATAAATAAGAGAAAGTCCATAAATTGTGCCTGAGACAGAAATTACAAATCATGGCAATAACTACACACACACACACACACACACACACACACACCCCGTAAAACTTCTATTTCACCTTATGACCAAAAACTTGGAAAGACAAGGGACAGAGGCAATTTGATAAAGGCTATATGACAGGGGCTGAGGATTTAGCTCAGTGGTAGTGTGCTTCCCTAGCAAGTGCAAGGCCCGGGGTTTGGTCCTCAGCTCCAGAAAAGAAAAAAGCTATATGACAAAATTATAGCTGATTCATGCTAAACTCAGAGCATTCCCATTAAGAACAGAAACAAGATAATGAATCTCCTCAGTACAATTTAAAATAGTCCATGATGCCTTAGCTTGAGCAGTAAGTGACCATTTTTGGCTTATTTCTTTTTGGGAGACATGTTCTCACTCTAGCCTATAATAGGCTCAAATTTGAGGCAGTCATCTTGCCATGGCTTCTTACATACTGGGATTATAAATGAATCACCATGTTGAATGGCTTCCATGAGGAGAAAAAGATCCTTGGAACACAACAAAAGGAACACAAGAACATGGTCATGGACTACCAAAGGCCAAAATTGGTGCAGACCAAAAGTGAACTAGACATTGGATAATAGGAAAAGGAGTAAAGATTCTGAAGTCTGTGTGATGTGGAGGACTGATAACACTAAAAACTTTCATGAAGCCGGGCGGTGGTGGCGCACGCCTTTAATCCCAGCACTCGGGAGGCAGAGCCAGGCGGATCTCTGTGAGTTCG